TCGAATCCCAGTGTGTGCACTTCGGGCATCCCAGTGCGGGGGTGTGTCAGAGGTCCACTGGTGATCCCCGATCGATCCTAGGGAAGGGCTACATGCTCGCTGTCATGGGGGGTTATGGGCGCACTGACCCGCTACTTAACAAGCCCTTTTATCCCAATGGTCCAGTGGTTGGGATTCTGACATCGTCCGCCACGACGGAGACAACGACCACGAATGCAGAGATGTCCATTCACGGATGTGCGACACACCCTGAGGCGACGAATGCGGGCCCGTAGCCAACCGCGCGTCACGATTTCGGCACCGATCAACGATTCGACACTGCCGTCACCGATGCCGCTGAAGCCGCAGCGTCCGCCATGTTTTGACCCGAGCCATGTTCAGGCGTGGTTGTTCACGATGAACGTGTTTTTCGACGCCAACTACGTCTCTGAGGATACGGCGAAAATTCGCTACGCCGTGTCACTGCTGCGAGGACCCGCCATGGATTGGTGGCGCGTCATCGTCACGAAGCCGAACGACTAACTACGCACAGCCCGGAGATTCTCTAAAATCGACCTTAGAGGGGGTTACCACCAGATTCGCGTCAACCCACCCGACTGCCCCAAGACAGCCTTTCGAACACCCTACGGATACTTCAAATACACAGTCATGCCCTTCGGACTGACCAACGCCCCCGCCACCTTCCAAATGATGATGAGCGAGGCATTCCGCCCACTTTTAGATAAGTGCGTCATCGTCTACTTAGATGACATACTGATTTACAGATAGAGCACAACACCTACAGAACATCGAAGAAAGTTTTTAAAATACTGAGCGAGAACCGCCTACTGACGAAAGCCTCTAAGTGTGAGTTTTTACAGGACCTACTGGAATATTTGGGTCATATCATTTCAGCTGACGGAGTGGATATAGACCCGAAGAAGATCGCGACGATTCAAGCGTGGCACGCGCCGACAAATTTGACCGAGTTGCAGAGCTTTTTGGGGTTCGTCAACTACATGCGCTGGTTCGTCCCCGACATGGCGAAGTTGACTGCCCTGTTGACCGACCTTCTGAGGAAGGGGGTTGAGTACATGTGGGGGGAGAAAGAGCAAGCTGCCTTCTCGGCCCTCAAACAAATTTTGTGATCGCCGCCCGTACTTCACATTGCAGATCCGCACCGTCCGTTCGAGCTCATCACAGACGTGAGTGACATCGCTGTGGGAGCGGTGCTATTGCAGGATTTCGGGAACGGCCTCCAGCCAATCGCATACGAATCCCGCAAGCTTCACCCGCCCGAGCGCAACTACCCAATACACGACTGCGAAATGCTGGCAATCGTGTACGCGTTCAAGGTGTGGCGATGTTACCTGACGGGCGCCGACGTGACAGTACGGACAGACCACCGATCACTACAGTACCTCCGCGCCCAACCGAATCTCAATCCGCGTCAGATCCGCTGGTTGGACTATCTGGAGTCCAAATTCCACTACACGCTCACGTAGAAAAAAGGCGCATCAAATATCACCGATGCACTCACATGCCCTACTGCCCAACTCCATGCTATCCTACTTGCCCAAACCAGCCCGCTTTTAACAGGCCTATTCACCCACGGATACCCCACCGACCCATTTTTCACGACCGGAAATTCGCAGCAACTGGGAGAAGCAAGAGGAGTCTATTACGTAAAAACAGGCACCAACCGCATCTGGGTACCCGCATACTCATTACTGAAGGAGCTGTTACTGCAGGAGGCACACGACGGATTACCTCGGGTCATTTCAGAGTAGAGAAAACGCGACAACAACTGCAGTAGTACTACTACTGGCTGGAGCTGTTGACCGACGCACAGCAGCACGTGGGCTCGTGCCCCACATGTCAGGTGATGAAGAGCTCGCGAAAAAGAAAGGTGGGTCAACTGCAGCTGAGTCCACCGCCCGAGCGTGCCTGGCAGCAGGTTACCATGGATTTCGTTACGGGGTTACCTTCGAACCTTGGGGGTAACGACGCGGTTATGGTCGTCGTTGACAGGTTAACGAAAATGGCACACTTCGCTGCGTGCAAGAAGTCGATCTCAGCCGAGGAAACCGCTCGTCTGTTCATCGCAGCCATTGTTCGCCTGCACGGGATACCAGCAGCAATTATCAGCGACAGAGACACGAAATTCACCAGCAATTTCTGGAAGAACCTCTAGGAGCAGTTCGGGACCAGGCTATAGTTCAGCTCGTCGTACCACCCCGAGATCGACGGTCGAACGGAGTGGACGAATCAGACGATGGAGCAGTTGACTCGTTCCACGTGCGACGACCCGACAACTTGGGAGTAACAGCTGCCACTGATCGAGTTCGCGTACAACAACGCCACGTCAGCGACGACGCAGCAGTCCTCGTTTTACCTGAACTGCGGGCAAAACCCTACAGTGCCCATGACACCGAGTCCGGACAACCCAACGCCACGTGCACAGCAATTCGCCGAGATTCTGCAAGATGCCCGAACAAGAGCCGTTGAAGCAATTAAAAAAGCAAATGTCATCGCTAAGTGCAACGCTGACCGCCACCGCCGCCCCGTCACGTACCAGTCAGCAGATTACGTACTGCTTGACACGCAAAATCTGCGACTGCCCGACGTACCAAACTTCGACCTCGCTACTGTGGCCCATTCCAAGTTAGCCACATAATTACGCCAGTAACCCATCTACTGTTACTGACTGACTGGTACATCAGCCCATCATTCCACGTCAGCCTGCTTCGCCCTTACATCCCAACCACAAGCCAACTGCCTCGTCACCGCCCGCCATCCATGACTCGCCCTGCATCGGAGCCGACCATCGAGCCCGAGAAGATTCAGAGCCATTGGATTCGACACCCCACGGGAATCAGGAGGATCGAGTTCCACGTTCGCTGGAAGGATCGCACGCCAACTAGGGATAGCTGGGTGCCCCTGGCCAACATCTAAAACCACCCTGCCTGGCAAGTGTACCTGATGAGCCGGGGTTTCTGCGATATACACGCGCTCGCGTAGCGGAGGGGGCTTCTTGAGGGGGGGGTAGCGTAAGGAATTTTCTCGACATTCCTTACTGAGACCGGCAATACCGCGTACAGCAGCAGCCGTTGTTCGCCCATTACTGCTAACGGGGCCTCGTTAACTTCGCGCACTGTTTCACCAAACCTTGCACTGCTGGCCCGGCCATGTCAGCCTATGCTTCGGGACTAGCCCGAACCTCGCTGCCAGCGTAGCACTAGCTAGCCCGCATGCACTGCGTTACCGATTGCATTTTTCGCGTATAAATGTTCGCTCATGCCTTCGCTCACATTTTGTACTCGTTTGACACTTAGTGCAATCATCGCTACCTCGATTCATTCCACCTGTAATATATAACAGGCCTCTACAATTACTTACATATGTAAGCAAAGATACTCAAACTTAGAATAGAAGCCAGAAGTGACAGCCAATGTGCCAATCATAAATATAATACATTACCTCTGCTATCCTTGTAAAATGGAGATGACTGGATGTATGAGAACATTTTTTTACTTCTTTAATCACTATGAAAGCAGCAGGTCAAGCGACTGATTCCTGATTTCAGAAATTAAAGCCCTTTTCAGCATAACGGAACGATAAAGTCTGTAGGTATATATTTCTCCATACTTATTTGAGGTCCTTTTGGTCATTTTAACAATCCATTTGGATCACTAGGATGGCATGGATGGAGGAGTCTAACATCTTGTTATATGATATATACAGTTAGATTTCATAATTCTAGTATACGCGACATATTGGAGATGTCGCAGATGTGGTTTGAACTTTGAACATACAATTTGTAATGTGTGCCAGCAGAACTGACGTGGCACCAGCGTCAACCCTATCACTTGATTGCTGAGCTGCGGTCCCTGAGCTATCACGGGCCTGCTTGCGTCAGGAGGAGGACACAAACGGGCGTGACTGTTCCTTGTCAGGCGACATACGTGGCTGAGCAAGCAGGCTCAACACCCACGATTGACTTGGCACCACAATACACCACGCAAGAAGCTTCAGTAACCCACAATACTGCGCTGAAACATGTTGCATGAGTGATTCCAGGGGCGCAAACCTGATCTTCGGCTTATCACTGTGCCGCGTCCGCCCCCTTTCTCCGCTCTGGCGCGCCGAACCCCTGCCCGTCCCGCCATGCATCAAGCCCATTCACCCGCATATCCGCACTCTGGGAACCAGAATCCAGGCAGCCAGGCGGAGCGAGCAGGCGTCATGTTGGGCGTCTGTTGGTGCGTCTTCTCTCAGGAGTCAGGTGGCAGGTGCCTTTGCCTCCCAGGCTCCCAGTCCAGCTCCTATTTCACATGCGCTCGAAACCCTACCTGCTGTTCCAGGTGACCTACCTTGCAACGATCGATTGCTGGCTCTCGGTTCTGCTGCTGCTTGGAGCCTAGCTGCCATGTTCAAGCACAAGGTCAGACACTTGATTGACATGCCATCCATTTTTTTCCCGCGTAAACCGCCGTTAGTCTATTCACCGTTTCGTTAGTGATTTGCCGACTTAGTGCATCCGTAATGTCGTTACTTGCGCTTTTTTAGGATTTCATTCATTTGCCGATGAGATTATTTCCATGCCTTTCAACTGCACTTACCTTCACGACTGCCGCGTGTGTTAGCGAATTACTTTCGCATGTTGTTCGTAGCTAAAATATATAGTGTTAGCATCGCCTGCCATCGTTCCCGGCATTACGGGCTGTCATTCGGGCTTATTTGTCGACGCCTGGTCCTATTTTTCTTCTCGTCCTGCTCTTGTCGTTATGTCGTTCTCTCCGTATCTCCCTAACTCGTGTCTTCCTTTTCTCTCTGCCACCACACCCGTCTCCCCTCTTCTTGCCGCCTCCCGCTCCTTCAGATTCGGTCTAAGGCCTTCGAGTTGGTATTTTCTCGTTGACGTCACATCTTGGATTGAACCATCACGTTTTCCGCAATTAGTTAGTGTTAGTATACGGCGTATCCCTATACTCGATCCGATCGAGCCACGCTAGTCAATAATGGACAATTTACCGGCGGGGTTTGACAAGGATCTGTTAAAGGCGGCACTGGCATCGCTACGCGATGAGGACAGTAGCGGCAGCGGGGGCGGGGGAATGGAGTTGACGGACGATTTGGTCTCCCGCGTGGGGCAGCGCCTGCAGCACCTGCAGGCCCTCGCCGCCGCGCGGGCGCCGCCCAAGTCCCCTGCACTTGCGCCCAACTCCCCCGCAGTTGCGCCCAATTCCCCCGCTGTAGCTGCGCGTGACGGTCAAGGGGGAAGTGTGTTGGGTTCCCCCGCCCCACAGGCGTTGGAGGCTCAAAGAGTGGATCAAGGGGAGCAGGCGGAACAAGGCCGTAACGAGTTCGGCGCGGATGGCGCAGGGGATCATAATGCTGGAGACGCCGAACCAATCGGGGACTCGCAGCGTGCTGTAGCGCATACGGGGCCCGCTATAGCGGACACTGGGCGGAAGGATCATGAGGGGGCGGATGGTGAAGGGGGAGCGGGGACAGACGGGGCGAAAGACGCGCAGGGCGGAAGCTCGGAGGCGGGCGGAGCGGAACAGACAGGACAGGAGGGCGGGGAGGGAACAGCGCCCCTGGCCGCGGGAGACGCGAATGGGGGCCTAGTCAAAAGGGCTGGAGAAGGTGAAGGGGAAGGGGCGGAGGGCGCGATGGGCGGAATTTCCAGTGCGCCAGTTGCGCAGACGAACACTGCTCCGGTAGCGGGAGCGGTGGCGCACGCGGATGAGGAGAAGGCGGAGAAGATTGTGTTGGCGGGATACAGCAACGACCGCGACCAGCGAAGCAACGATCACGAACATCAACATGCACAGGGGCACGCGCAAGGGCACGCGCAAGGGCACGCGCAAGGGTACGCGCAAGGGCATGCGCAAGGGCATGCGCATGGGCAAGCGCATGGGCAAGGGCAAGAGCAGGGGCAAGGGCTAGGCGCGAGCCTCCAGCTGCCGTCCACCGCTGGCGCGCAGGATATAGCGCACACTGCGGGGGAAAACAATAGCCCCGCGCAGGCCGCAGGGGTGCAAGCGGGCGGAGAAGCGGCAACGGGACGCGGAACCGACTCTTTTGCAGAAGAGAGACCGGGGAACGGGGGGCCGGGCGGGGAAGGGTCGGATGGGATGGGCGGAGAAGGGGGGGACGGCGGAGAGGACGAGGATTCGGAAGAGGGCGTGGAGAAGGAGGCGAGCCGCATGCTGTCGTCGCAGTACCGCGGGGTGGTGCCGCAGCCCAACGGGCGGTGGGGCGCGCAGATCTACGAGAAGCACAGCCGCGTGTGGCTCGGCACGTTCAACGGCGAGGAGGACGCGGCGCGCGCGTACGACCGCGCCGCGCTCAAGTTCCGAGGGAGGGATGCGATGACGAACTTTCGGCCGATGCCCGAGTCGCACCCCGAGATCTGCTTCATCATGTCGCAGCCCAAAGAGAAGGTGCGCTCCCTCACTCGCCGCTCCCGCTCCCACATGCTCCGCCCCCCGCCTCCCTCCCTCCGGCCTCCTCCCCCCGCGCTCCTCCCCCCCACTTCCTCCCCTCCGCCTCTTCCCCCACCGCGCTTTTTCCGCCTTTCGACCTGCCTGGTTTGATCTCTGCTCCCCGCATCCGCCCTCACCAGCCTGTCGTGTTTCTGCTCCGCCCTTCATGGGGCTATCATCACTTTCCTCTCTCTTTCTTTGCACCCGCTCTCTCCTCCGTTACCCTGCCCCCTCAGTCAAATGTTTCTGCCCTCGTCCCGCTCTGCGCCCTGCGCCATGCGCCATCTCTCTTCCCCCACGTCGTATGCCGTCTGATTCTTCCCCTTTCTCCTGCCCCCATCCCCGCCACTCTCCCCCATCCAAACCCACGTCCCCGCGCGCAGCTGGTGGACATGCTGCGCAAGCACACATTCGAGAATGGACTTACCGAGTCGACTCCAGATTTAACATGCACCCCCCACTTTTTCCCCGCTTCCCCACTTCTCCTCCCCTCGCTGCGCGCAGCTGGTGGACATGCTGCGCAAGCACACGTTCGAGGAAGAGCTCGCCAACGCGAACCTTGCGGAAGCCGCCACGTCTCCGCCTGCGCAGCCCAACGCGCACGCGCTCGCGCTCCCCGCGCCTTCCACGCAGCATGGGCAAGGGCAGGGCGCGCTGATGCTGCCGACGCAGGGACAGGCGCATCCCCACGACCCCCCTTACCCTGGACATTCCCCGCTCTCGCTTCCGCCATCCGCGCATCTCCACCCCGCGTCCTCCGGTTTCCCCGCCGGTTCCTCCCCCTCTGCGCCGCTCGGCCCAGGTCGCCCCGCGCAAGACGGCGCGGGGACGCCCCTCCGCATCGTTGGGAGCGCCGGCGCTCCCGCAGGCGCGGGAATGGGCGGCGGGCGGGAACTGGGGTTCCCCGCTGCGGACGCGGCGCAGTCAGGCGGAGGGGGGTTCCATGGGGGAGGGGGCGGAGCAGGGGGAGGAGCGGGACCAGGCGGGTATGGCGGAGGGGCCGGCCAGGTGATGGGGGCAGCCGGGGGAGGCGCAATGGCAGGATCGATGGGGGGAGGCATGGGCGGAGCGATGGGCGGAGGCGGCGGGGGCGGGGGTGGCGGGGGTGGCGTGAGCATGGCGGGGAAGGAGCATCTGTTTGAGAAGGCGGTGACGCCGAGCGACGTGGGGAAGCTGAACCGGCTGGTGATTCCCAAGCAGCACGCGGAGCGCTGCTTCCCGCTCGACCCCAACCTGCCCACGCCCGCCATGACTCTCTCGTTTGAGGATGAAGCTGGGAAACACTGGCGCTTCCGGTGAGTTTTGAGACAACTATTCAGAAGGTGTGCGTTTTATGCGACTCAAGACGCACCTCGACCCCAACCTGCCCACGCCCGCCATGACCCTCTCCTTTGAGGACAAAGCTGGGAAACTCTGGCGCTTCCGGTGAGATCCGCGCCCACTTGCATAGCGACAGTTTTAGCCGTAGCCGTAGCCTTCCTGCTCGACCCCGACCTGCCCACGCCCGCCATGATGCTCTCCTTCGAGGACGAAGCTGGCAAACTCTGGCGCTTCCGGTGAGTTCTGTACCCACACCCCACACCCTCAACCTTCGCTGCAGCCGTACCTTTACCCTTAGCTGTAGCTTTAACCGCTCGACCCCAACCTGCCCACGCCCGCCATGACGCTTTCTTTTGAGGACGAGGCTGGCAAGCACTGGCGCTTCCGGTACGACTCTTAGCCACACCCGCAGCCGTCGCCCCTCAATTCCAGCCTATGCCATGCTCCCCCTCCCCCCCTCCTCCCCTCCTTCTCCCCAGGTCCTCGTATTGGAACAGCGGTCAGAGCTACGTGCTGACCAAGGGGTGGAGCCGCTTCGTCAAGGAAAAGCTATTGGTTCCGGGGGGCATCGTTCAATGTCACAGGGGCACCTTCTGAGGCGCCTAAACACTCCCTCCACTCTCCCCCTCCTACCCTCCGTCTCCCCGCGCAGGTATTCGTACTGGAACAGCAGTCAGAGCTACGTGCTGACCAAGGGGTGGAGCCGCTTCGTCAAGGAGAAGCTTCTAGTCCCGGGGGACATCGTCTACTTCCACAGGGGCACCTTTTCAGGCGCCTCAACACTCCCGCCACACCTCCATCCCCCTCTCGCCCACGCAGGTATTCGTACTGGAACAGCAGTCAGAGCTACGTGCTGACCAAGGGGTGGAGCCGCTTCGTCAAGGAGAAGCTTCTAGTCCCGGGGGACATCGTCTACTTCCACAGGGGCACCTTTTCAGGCGCCTCAACACTCCCGCCACACCTCCATCCCCCTCTCGCCCACGCAGGTACTCGTATTGGAACAGCAGTCAGAGCTACGTGCTGACCAAGGGGTGGAGCCGCTTCGTCAAGGAGAAGCTTCTAGTCCCGGGGGACATCGTCTACTTCCACAGGGGCACCTTTTCAGGCGCCTCAACACTCCCGCCACACCCCCATCCCCCTCTCGCCCACGCAGGTACTCGTATTGGAACAGCAGTCAGAGCTACGTGTTGACCAAGGGGTGGAGCCGCTTCGTCAAGGAAAAGCTGCTCGTCCCGGGAGACGTAGTCTACTTTCACAGGGGCACCGCGGGTGACCTCTTTATAGGCTTCCGCCGCCGCCCCGCGCAGGGCTTCGCGCCCTCCGCCGCCGCATCCAGCGGGGGCGCGGGCGCCGCGCTGGGCTCCGCGGACGGGGCGCAAGACGACCCCATGGGGCTGCAGGGGAGGTCCTGGCGGAGGCCCTCCCCGCCCCGCCAGGCGGGCGGGGCGTATGGGGGGTTTGGGGGAGGCGGGCAGCGGAGAGCGGACGGGGGAGGGTATGGGCGGGACGAGGGGGAGGATAGTATGGATGGGGAGGTGGGGAGTGTAGGCGGGGGCGGGGGAGGGGGCGGGGGAGGGGGCGGGGGAGGGGGCGGGGCGGAGCAGGGGAAGCTGGGCGCGAGCAATCTCGCGGCGCTGGCTGCAGCGAAGCTTCCTGCGTCGCTGCTGGCACAGCTGGGCCCGTCGGGCGTGGCGCAGCTGGCGTCACTGCTGACGTCAGTGTCAGGTCAGGGTGGGCTGACCCCTGCCGTGCTGCTCTCTCATATCCAGCAGATTCAACGTCAGAAGCAGCAACAGCAGCAGCAGCAGCAACAGGCGCCGTTGCAGCACCAGGAGCAGAAAGAGGAGGAACTGGAGGAGGAAGAGGAGGACGAGGAAGACCACTTGCAGCAGCAGGGGCATGGGCAGGGAGGGGGTGCGATGGAGGGCGAGGGGGCAGTGAGCGAGATAGTCCCTGGGGTGGTGAAGGGTTCAGTACAGGAGCAGCTGGTGAATGCCGCAGTGGCTAAGGGGCTGGCTGCGGGGCTGTCGAGGGACCAGATCGTGTCGTCCATTGCCGCCCTGCTCGCGCAGCAGCAGGCCATGCGCAACTCCTCCTCCGCTACAGACAAAGCTGGTGATGCGCACGGCGGGGCGGCGCCGCATGGAGACGGCGGCGCGGGTGGAATGAGTGCGCCGTCTTTGCTGGTAGCGCCTGGGGCAGCGGGGGCGGGAGGGGCAACAGGTCCAGGGGGAGGAATGGGGGGAATGGGGGGGATGGGGGGCATGAATACAGATGGTCACGAGCCAGAGGGAGCATGGGAGCAGGGCGGTCCGCCCCAGGCTCCCCCTTCTCTCCACCCGCCCCTCTTCCACATGCCACAGTCGCTACCTCCCCTGGGTGGCACTCGGCCAGGGGGGTACGGAGGGGCGGGGGGCCTGGCGGGGAGGAAGCGGGCAGCGCCGGAGGACTCAGCAGAGCCGTCGGGGAGTCGGGGGGACGGGGGGGACGGGGGCGCGGACGATGGCGCGTCCATGGCGTCTGGCATGGGCGGGGGGAAGCGCTTGGCGTCCCTTGCTGCTGCTGGCAGTGCGGCTGCTGGTGGGGGTGGCGGGGGGAGTTTCGGGGGAGGTGGTGGAGGGTTAGGTGGGTTGATGGGTGCGCGGATGAGTGGGCTTGGTGACGCTGGTAGGGAGGCTTCTGGCGGCTCTCCCTTTTACCAGCACCAGCAGCAACACAACCAGCAGCCGAACCAACAGATGCCACAGATGCAGCAGCAGTCACGGGGAGGGTTCATGGGAGCAGCAGGTGGTGTGGCAGGCGGAGCAGGGACAGGAGGCGGCGGAGGTGGTGGTGGTGGTGGTGGTGGGGGCAGAGGGGGCTCCCCCCCCTCCAGCCTGGGCCCTGAGCGCTCAGGCAACTCCTCCCCTGGTGCTGCAGGCGCGGGCATGATGGGGGGCGCGGGGGATGGCGCAGGGGGAGGCGGAGGTGGATTGGGGGGGCTGTCAGGGTCAGCAGACGCAGCAGGCTTGGGAGCAGGGAGCATGGCGGATAACGCAGGGGGAGCGGGCGCGAGGGGCGGGGCATTAGGGGGAGGGGGAGGGGGAGGGGGAGGGGGAGGAGGAGGAGGCGGAGGCGCGGGGGGAGAGGAGAGCTTGAGAGTGAAGTGCTTTGTGGAAGGGTCACCGTTTGGTGTGTCGGTGGATTTGAGTCGGTTCCAGTCGACGCAGGAGCTGAGGGAGGCGCTGCTGTCAGTCACAGAGGGGTCGTCTGTGGTGTACCAGGACCGCGAGGGGGATATGATTCTGCTGGGTGACGAGTCATGGGAGTTCTTTCTCAAGTCGGTGCGACGCATGTACATCCGCCGGTGACGTGCTGTGCTCGTGAGTTGCCGGAGCTGACAGAGGGGTCGAACGTGGTGTATCAGGGCCGAGAGGGCGACATGGTCCTCCTGGGAGATGAGTCCTGGGAGTTCTTTTTGAAGTCGGTGCGGCGCATATACATCCGCTGGTGACTCCGGGCTTGGGAGGTGCCTAAGCTGGCAGGGAGCTGGGGTTGCTTGTGGCGCACGTCGTCACACACAGGGATGATCCTGCAGCTGCCTGGGGCGAGTCGTGAGCGGTGCACTGCTTGTCATCACTCACCCTGTTGAGGTTCCGGTGGTTTGAAGTGTGTCACTGAGGTGCATGTACATTCGCTGCTGAGTAGATGGTCGACACGGGTGGGGGCTAGCAGCAGACCCCCTTTAGGTAACAAGGTATAGCAGCCATTGATGTACGGTACGTACCTTTGTGGGTTGCCTATCAATAATAAATCAGCCGGTTTTTGTTTTAGGGTCTACTGTAGGATTAGCTGTAGTTGCTTCAGGTTATTGGACAGCCCAATCTGATGGTTTAGTCGTGGGAATGTAGCCCAACCTTGCTGCGAGGTCATTAATAAAAGCTGTCAAGGCCGAGCTGAAACTAAACAGCTGTTGTATCTGAAATTTCCTAACGATAACGTATCTGATTATGGTGACTCTTGGTGACGGGCGGCAATCCCGATATCCATCAGAATTCCTTTGTCGGAAGCCTCGTAACTAGAATGACGGCGACAATTTGCGAGAGCAGGCGACAGTTCCCAAGGTCGCCTGACACCTGGTCACGAATCAGCATTCGTCCAGGCCTGTCGCGATTTGATGGCCCGTCAATTCAGAGTTGCGGGTGACACCTGGGGATCACTCTTTCCCCCTTCCCCCCCTCCTCCCCCTTTCACCTCCACGAAACGCAGTCTCCCGAATACCCCTTCCATGCCCTTTCTCTCCCGCAAACCCCCCTTCCAGTTCAGCGAAGGCCCATTTTTGCTCGGATTCTTCACTCACTCCAGTGTCAGGTTTTATCTCGGTTCCGCTCTAACGAATTCTTGCATTGGAGCCCGAGATCCGTCCCGAGTCCTCGTCTCGTCTCCAGGTTCGTCGCCATGTCTGAGCTCGAGATTAGATTCAAGAAGGCCGCGTACCTGATCCGCAATGGCCCGCCGAATCCCAAGGCGACCACGGAGGAGAAGCTCAAGTACTACTCCTACTTCAAGCAGGCCACGGAGGGCGACGTGAAGGGATCCCAGGTACTTTTAGAATTCTCAGAATGTCCCCTGGTAGGATAATGTTCATCGTTGTTTCGCTTGAGAATGACTCCGCCTTAGCGACTGTACGAGTGGCTTCATTGGCACACGCTCCTGTTTACGTTCTACCCTACCCCACGTCTTATGGCGTCTCGTCTTTCGCACGTCACGGACCTTCCCCCGAGTCCTAACCTTTTCGCGACGCTTCTCTTCCGTTGTGCATGACAGCCGCTGTTCATTCAATTCGAGGCGCGGCAGAAGTGGGACGCGTGGAACGCGATCAAGGGCATGTCGGCGGAGGAGGCGATGCAGAAGTATATCGATCTGCTCGCCGCCGACGACCCCAACTGGGAGTCGCACCCCGTGCTCGCCGACTTCAAGCCCGAATAATCTCCAGTTTCGAAAATATAGATTCCAAGAAATCCGTTGGTGAATGCACCATGCCATGCAGGCCCAGCCTGGCGTGGTGACGCTGAGCCTTTTTGTTTTTTTACAATGCGTTTTCCTGTGTTGTTATGGTTAGGGGTTAGTGCAGCCTGACAGGCCATGCTGGTCTCGTCGCTATGTTCAGGGATGGAAGAAAAATGAATATTCATGGTTCGCCCTTAGTGTCATGTGGCTCCTTTCCATGTGGGCTCGCTAGGCTATCCAGTATTGAGCCAGTCAGTTCATATACAGGAATGCTCCAAGAAGCCTTAGAGCGTGTTCCTACGGCCTCTATATCAGGAAACCTCGTATCAAGAATGCTGTTTTTGCCTGGTAAAACTAGCGAGAGGTTTGGGTTTAGGGGAATTTTCAGTGTGAGTCTGATACGAGGTTATCTTGATACGAGGATAGGAACACGCTCTTACACAGAGCTACAGTGTCGAAATCAAGAATGGACCTTGCCAATGTAGCAAGCCACATACATAACACTCCCTAATTCTACATCCAGGATAGAGCAACACCTCGAAGGTTCAACTGAGCTCGCCAGGCAGGCAGCATGAAAGCCTGAACACAAGGCTGCATGCCAGTCTGTTTGCCAGCCTGCATGCCAGCGACCACGCTCTAGAAGCCAGGCAGCACAGTGAGGTCAGCAATGCCTTCCGGCAGTCTTGCAATCCTGCTGAGCAGCCCCAAGCGGTTCTTACGCAACTGCTCCTCCTCCTGCACCCCCCATGCCACACAACCAGGTGCAATTCAATGATCGTGTCAAAACCACAATACCAAGTCGAGATGCGAGCGATCACAGAAGTTCACACCAGGGCAAGAGTCAGCACATAGGTAGAGACAGACGGACATGTATCAACATCAGCAACACAAGCATGATGGAGAGGATTGTGCTGTGGAGTTGTGGGATTTCGGGTTCAGGTGTGTTGTGGGGGGTGTGCGTTGAGGGGTTTGGGGTTTGGAGTGTGTTGGGGGAGTGTGAAGTGCGGTGTTGGAAATAGATATGCATGCCGTGTGGCTGGCTGGCTGGATGGCTGGTTGGTTGGTGGGCTTACCGCCATGACGAACACATTGGCAAAGAAGCCTTCAAGAGGGTCGACGAGAGCCATGGATGCATCGGCGAACGCCTTGATGCTCATGTCTGCACGCATGCATGCCGTGTTGGGAGGGCGCAACGGGGGGAAAGAGAGGGCACATAAAATATATTTCCATTGCACGTGTTGAGGATGTTGATATGCCTGCTTTCAAGAGACGGCCAATGATAGGGTGAATGGTGAGGCAGTGGTGTATGCTGTGGTGATTGAAAACGGTAATGCCTCGATCAACTTACCGGTAGAGATGCGCCAATATGTGACTGAATGCAATATGACTGTAACATGAATGTAAGTGGATGCAAACTGATGTGATACATGACATGTGGCACGATGTGAGAAGATGCATTGAGTGTGCCATGGGCGCAGAAAGAAGAAGGAAGCACGCACCAGTGGAGACCTCAGCATCCACGTGCTTGAAGGCGTCCCACAGAGTCCTCTCCGCATCCGACTCAAACAGCTTCTCCCTCACCTGCACACAGGCTCCCCCATACACACACACAATCAAGAGAGCCCCACATCATGTTCCACACACACAGGCACTCCTCAGGGTCATCATGCGCCACAAAAGTATGCCAGGTTGCTAGAGCATGCCGGACAGAGCATGCAGGACAGAGCATGCCGGACAGAGCATGCAGGACAGAGCATGCCGGACAGAGCATGCCGGACAGAGCATGCCGGACAGAGCATGCCGGACAGAGCATGCCGGACAGAGCATGCCGGACAGAGCATGCCGGACAGAGCATGCCGGACAGAGCATGCCGGACAGAACATGCCGGACAGAGCATGCACATGCGAGGCCACAAGGGTAAAGCTTGCATAACGAGAGCTCACCTGCCAGTCCAGGTCCACGTCCTTGCCGCGCACGATCCTCGTTGGCCGCCCATACGCTGCCACAATCTTTTCAAGCTGCCCTGACGCCTGTAGCTCCTCCATCTGGTATCAGGGCAGGCAGCGGGGCAGACAGCACGGTTACAGGTTGTCAGCCGAGACAAAAAGTGAGTGCTCTGGCACTCTCAGCTCCTTGCTGCATCATGAGGAGAGTCCGGATCGTTCTTCCATCTCTTTATCTCTCAGTGCCAGTGTTGGCATGGAGGCCCTCTGTATTGTGTGACCGTGTCACACAATGTCAAATGTCAGAACGTCACATCACAGCAGAGAGGATTCGCGTGCCACAGGGCGCCACCACTCACCTCCGCCACGGATCGTGCAGCCAAGGCCGGCACAGAGCCTCTCTCCTCCAGCACACTGCGCACCGCCACCACTGCCGCCCCACGGTCCACGAGGAACTGCTCCAGGCGGCGCACTATGAAGGACTCCACCTGCTTTTCAAAGGGTGGTGCCGTTTGTGTGGGGGGTGAGCAGGGGCGAGAAAGTCTGAGTTTGGAAGGGATTTTGAGGCGCCTCTACCACTGCCTCCACGGCCGCCCCGCGGTCCACGAGGAACTGCTCCAGGCGGCGCACTATGAAAGATTCCACCTGCAACCCAGGAAGGGATTTTGAGGCGCCCCATGCACCGCCTCCACTGCGGCCCCACGGTCCACCAGGAAGGGGTGGGGGGTGCTGTTGGGCATCAACACTTGCCAACCACCACACCACCTTGTGAAAGTAGCAAATTGAACAAGTAACTTCATTAGAGGAGTAACCTAGCATACATAGTTGGAAGAGAGGCTTGGAAGAGAAGGGTGAAGGTGACCATAGGTTGGGTTGACCTCACTTGTAGAAGTGAGGCAACCCTAGGCCCACTTGGCTTGAGATGACCTCACTTGTGGGAAGTGAGGCACCCATAAGCCAAGTGGGTTGCATTTGGGGGCTCCACCACAATTGGGTGGATTGGCACCCCAAAGTGCAAGACTACACCCAAAGTTGGGTGTAGTCCCAACCCAACTGTACACCACAATTGGTGTACAGTCACATGTGTTGGCATGCTACACAACATATATTTTAACACAACCCCTTAGCATGCTAACACAGGAAGAGAACAACCCCTGAATCAAGGGGCGCCCGGGCGAGCGAGGCCAATGAGGCGGAGGAAAGCAGAGTGCGCAGGGCGAAGGAGGGCCTTAGTGAAGATGTCGGCCAAGTTGGCCTCGGTCGCAATCTTGCGAACGGCAATAAGGCCCTTCTGGACAAGCTCGCGAATGAAAAAGTAGCGGAGCTCGATGTGTTTGGAGCGGGCGTGATAGACGGGGTCCTGAGTGAGATGGATGGTGCTGGCATTGTCGCACCAGAGGGTGGGGCACGTCTGGGGGGCGCCAAGCTCTGCAAGAAGGAAGCAGAGCCAGCGGGACTCCTGGGCGGCCATGGTGCCAGCGTAGAGCTCGGCCTCGCAGGTGGAGAGAGAGTTGGCGGAGGAGCGGGTGGAGCGCCAGCTGATGAGGCCGCTGCCAAGGGTGAAGCCGTAGCCCTGGGAGGAGCGGCGGTCCGGCTGCGTGTCAGCCCAAGAGGAGTCACTGAAGCCCGAGAGAAGAGGAGGGGAAGGGCCGCCAAGGGTGAGGGCAAGGTCCTTGGTCCCGCGAAGGTAGCGGAGGACCCGCTTGGCAGCTTTCCAGTGCTCCTCAGTGTGACGACCGGTGCCGACAAAGCGGGCGAGCACGCTGATGGGGTAGGCGAGGTCGGGGCGGGTGCAAATCATCGCGTACATCAGGGACCCAACGAGCTCGGCATAGGGGTGGGGGGAGGAGGTGGGGGAGGAGGGTGGTGCGAGTTGGTGGCCGAAAGGGAGGGGGGTGGAGACAGGCTTGGCCTGCGCCATGTCGAACTTCTCCAAGACCTGGCCGATGTAGTGGGACTGTGAGAGGGTGATGGTGCGAGCAGGGCGGTTGCGCGTGATGGCCATGCCCAGTTAGTGAGTGAGGGCGCCAAGGTCTTTGCACTTGAGACGCTGCTGCAGGGACAGCTTCATCTGCTCCATGTCGGCCCTGGTGTCAGAGAGCAGGATCATGTCGTCCACATACACCAGAATGAAGAATCGGCGGGGGGAGGAGCGGATGAAGAGGCTGGCGTCGGAGTGGGAAGCAGAGAAGCCGAGAGACCCTAAGGTGGCAGCCAGCTTCGCATGCCACTCACGCGGTGCCTGCTTCAAACCGTAGACAGGGCGGCGCAGCTGCCAGACAGTGTTCTCAGGGAAGGCTGCGTGGAACCCGGGGGGTCGCCGGAGGAAAATGCGCTCGTGCAGGTCGCCCTGCAGGAACGCATTGGAGACGTCCATGGAATCGATCTCCATGTTGTCACGTGCGCCAATGTCGAGGGCGGCGCGAAGGGTGGGTGGTTTGGCGGTGGGGGCGTAGGTGAACCAGTAGTCCTCGACCCAAGTCTGCGTGAACCCCTTGGCGCAGTAGCGGGCCTTGTACACCGGTTCCTCGCCCGGCAGCTGCTTCACCCGAAAGACCCATTTCCCGTCCACGAGGTTGGCGCCGGCTGGGAGGGGGACATCGACAAAGGAGTCGTTGCGAATGAATGCCTCACACTCCAGGAAGATCGCTGCTATCCATTTATCCGCGTCAGGGCAGGTGATGGCTTCCTGGAAGGTGGAGGGAGTGAAGATGGTGGGGGTGGTGGTGGCGCCAAGGACAGGAAAGCCCAGGAAGTCAAGGTAGAGGGAGGCAAGGAACGGAGTGTGCTCCCGAATGTTGAGGAACTCCTCATGGGAGTCCTCAAGGAGCTGAATGGAGGCAGGAGGAGGAGCCCCAAGGATTTTGTCCACCGAGCGGGTATGGATGCAAGGGAGGAGGAAGGGGGAGGAGCGGGAAGTGGCACGGCGCCGCTTCTGCTGCTGGTGCTGCTGAAGCTGCTGCCCTTGTTGTTGCGGCTGCTGCGGACCGTGCTGCTGCTGTGTCTGCTGCTGCTGACTGTGCTGCTGCTGCTGCTGCTGTCCCGGTTGCTGCTGTTGCGGCTGCCCCGGCTGCTGCTGCTGCTGCTGCTCCGACTGCTGCTGCTGCTGCTGCCCCGGCTGCCGTTGCTGCTGCTGCTGTTGCCCCTGCTGCCGTTGCTGGTGTTGCTCCGGCTGCTGCTGCTGCTGCCGCGGCTGCTGCTGGTGCTGCTGCTGCCCCTGCTGGTGCTGATCCGGCTGCTGCTGCTGCTGCTGCTGCCCCTGCTGTTGCTGATCCGGCTGCTGGAAAGGAGGAGAATGAGAGGAGGAGGGAGAGGGGGGAGGGGGTGCAGTGGAGTGAGCGGGGGAGGCGGGTGCGGCAGGGTTGTAGACGTCGGCAGAGGAGGAAGGCGGGAGTGGAGCGGCGACAGGTGGGAGGAGAGACGCTGGAGGGAGAAGAGGCGGGAGGACGGTGTCGGTCCAAGCGAGGGGGCGAGTGGGAGGAGGGAGGGGGTCAGGAGGAGGGGTGGAGTAGTAGGGAGTGGACTCGTCGAAGACGACGTCAATGCTGCGGATGAGGCGATTGGTGGGAGGGTGGAGGAATAGGTAGCCAGGGGAATCACGATTGTGCCCAAGGTAGACACACTCCAGAGCGCGAGGAGCGAGCTTGCCAGCAGCGCGGGAGCGGTCGGCCGGTGGAATGAGGACGAACGCCTTGCAGCCCCAAACACGAAGGCCTGCGGCGTCAGGCTTGGCCTTGGACCAGAGTTCTGTGGGGGAGGAGGAGGGATGCTGAGGGTGGGAGCGGAGATTGAGGAGGAGGGCGGCATGAATGAGAGGGAGGGAGGGGTGGAGGCGTGAGCAATGAGGCAGCGCGCAATCTTGGTGATCTCACGGATGCGACTCTCAGCGATGCCGTTTTGCTGAGGGGAGTGGGGAAGGGTGGAGGTCTGCTGAATGCCGTATGTTTTGCAGTAAGTGGAGAGAGTATGATTGATGAACTCACCCCCACCGTCAGAGTGAAGGCGGCCTATGGGACGTTTGAAGTGGTTGCGGCACTGCTCAGCCCAGTTGATGACCACAGCCGGCACCTGGTCTTTCGTGTGAAGAAAGAAGACGGTGGAGTACCGACTGTGGTCGTCGACGAGCACGAGCATGTACCTGTGCCCCTGACGAGAGCGGATGGGATAAGGGCCCCAGAGATCCATGTGAACAAGGTCAATGGGGGCGGGAGCGAAGGTGGGGTGACTGTGATGGGGGGACTGTTTGAGCTTGCCATGAATGCATGATGGGCATGGGGGAGCAGGGGAGGAGGGGAGGGGAGGTAAGGTGGGAGGAAGGCTGTTAAGGAGGCGAGAGGTGACGGTGGAGCGAAGTGCGGCGAAGTTGGGATGGCCGAGTCTGTGATGTAGGAGCACCGCAGGATGGGAGAGGGCAGTAGAGGAGGAGGGGGATGGGGTGGGGGAAAAGTTGGGGGGGGAGGAGGAGGCGGATGGAGTAGAGGAGGAGGATATCGGAGGGAGAGGGAGAAGGGGAGGGGGAGGGTGAGGGGGAAGAGGAGGGGGAGGGGGAGGGAGAAGGGGACCGGTGGAAGTACCAGCACGAGTGGTGACGTGACAAAAGGAGGGACGGGGTGTGCGGAGCGTGTAAAGGCGAGTGCGAGGGCAAAGGGGAATGCGCAGGAGGAAACGACCAGAGGCGGTGTGATAGAGATCGCAGTAGGAAGCAAAGCCAGGGTATATGGCGGTAATGCCAACGCCTTGGAGTTCACGGTGGGAGAGGAGGTTATTGCGAAGGGTAGGGATGTGGAGACCGGTGACTGTACCGGATGGGAAGGCGGTGCAAGGAAGGGTGGAGAGGTGAGTGCAGGGGATGGAAAAGCTGGAGTCGGCACCATGAACCTGGGTGGGAAGTGGGAGGGGGGTGAGGGTGCCAGCGTCTTTTAGTGCGGTTTCGGTGGCCCCACTGTCAAGGACAAAGTCCAGGGTGGGGGGGGAAGGAGAGGGATGGAACACAGAGTACTGGAGAGTTGTTTCATGGATAGAAGAGGGAGAGAGCGGCGGGTGCTGCTGCTGTAAGTACTGTTGCTGCGGCGGCTGCTGCGGTGGGAGAGACTGTGGCGGTTGCGGCTGGAGAGATTGGGCTGCTGCTGCTGCTGGAAGCACCACCGATGCTGCTGCGGTTGCTGCGGCTGGAGAGATTGTGGTGGCTGCTGCTGCTGGAAGCACTGCTGCTGCTGCTGCGGATGGAGAGAACTGTGGCTGGTGCTGCTGCTGGAAGCACTGCTGCTGCTGCGGCTGAAGAAACTATGGCTGCCGCTGCTGCTGGAAGGACTGCTGCTGCTGCGGCGGGAGGAACTGTGGCAGCTGCTGCTGCTGGAAGGACTGCTGCTGCTGCGGCTGGAAGGACTGCTGCTGCTGCGGCTGGAAGGACTGTTGCTGCTGCGGCTGGAAGGACTGCTGCTGCTGCGGCTGGAAGGACTGCTGCTGCTGGGGATGGAGAAACTGTGGCGGGTGAGGCTGGAGAGATTGCGGCTGCTGTTGGTGTAGGAAGAACTGCTGCTGCTGCGATTGCCGCGGCTGGAGGAGATGTGGGGGGTACGGCTGGAGAAATTGTGGTTGCTGCCACTGCTGGAGGTGCTGCTGCTGCTGATGCTGGAGCTGCTGGAAACGCCGCAAATGGGGAGGGGGGGAGGAGGAGGTGAGCAGGCGGAGATAAGGGGGGGGGAAGGAGTGGAGGGTCGGAGTGTTGAGAAGGGAGGGGCGAGGAGCAACACTGCTCCAGTGAGGAGGGGGGAGAGGGGCAGGGGGGGTAGCAGTCATGATGGGTGACGGCGGGTGGACCCGCGGCGGCCAAGGGTGAAGTTGCTGCTGCTGAGGCTGCTGCACTTCCCCTGCCGCCGCTGCTGCTGCCGCTGGCAGGAGGAGGGAGGGGGGGGGTAAAGGAGGGAGACAGCGGTGGAGGGCAGAGGCGTTCAAGGTGCAGGGAGCGACAGTGACAAGGGCGCAGGCGGCTGTGCGAACGTGCGGCGGCGGGAAGGGGAGGCGGTGGCAAAGTCGGGGGCGGAGGCGGCAAGCAGGCCGCGACGACGAAGGGCGCAGGCGACAGCGGAAGGGCCGCGGCGGCGATGTTGAGAGCGGCGGCTGCAAGCAGGTTGCGGCGGCGGAAAGGTGAAGGCGGCGGGGAAATGGCTGCGGCGGCGAAACGAGGGACGGCGGCGGCAGGCAGGCCGCGGCAACGAGGGGCGCAGGGGGAGGGGGAGGGGGGGGGAGAGGAGTAGGGAGAGGAGGAAGGGAGGGTGCAGTTGCGGCTGAATCTGCAGGCGGCGACGGGGCAGTCACGGCGGCAGGAAGTGTGGGCGGGGATGGCGCGGTCGCGGTGGAGGATGGGCAGGCGGCGCCGAAGCAGTGGCGGCGGCAGGGCGGCGGCGGCGCAGTCGCGTTAACGGGAACCGCGGGGCGACGATGTTGCAGTTGCGGCGGGGGAAATTGCGGGCGGGTGGCGATGCAGAAGGGGCAGCGAAATGCGTGGGTGACGCAGAAGCAGGTGCGGCGGTGGGAGGGGAGGCGGAAATACGAAATCGCGGCGGGGGGGGGGGGGGGGTGGGGGCGCGGGAAGGTGACGACGAGCAGTCGCGGCGGCGGAATGCGCAGGCGGCGATGTTAGGTCGCGGCGGCGGGACGGGCAGGGGGGCGACGAGCTGTCGCGGTGGCGGAATGCGCAGGCGGCGATGTTAGGTCGCGGCGGCGGGACGGGCAGGGGGCGACGAGCTGTCGCGGCGGCGGGACGGGCAGACGGCGCCGAAGCAGGCGCGGCGGCGGGAAGGGGAGGCGGCGACGTGACGTCGCGGCGGAGGGACGGGCAGGCGGCGACGAGGCGTCGCGGCGGCAGGATGCGCAGGCGGCGCTGAAGCAGGCGCGGCGGCGGGAACGCGACGACGAGACGTCGCGGCGGAGGGACGGGCAGGCGGCGACGAGGCGTCGCGGCGGCAGGATGCGCAGGCGGCGCCGTAGCAGGCGCGGCGGCGGGAACGCGGCGACGTGACGTCGCGGCGGAGGGACGGGCAGGCGGCGACGAGGCGTCGCGGCGGCGGGATGCGCAGGCGGCGCCGAATCAGGCGCGGCGGCGAGAGGGGGAGGCGGCGACAGGGGGTCGCGGCGGGGGGGAGGAGGGGACAGCGGCGTTGCGCTCGCGGCGGTGGTATCCGCAGGCGAGGAAGGCGTAATCGCGGCGGGAGGGGGAGGGGAACGGCGGCGACGGCGTAGGTCGCGGCGAGAGTATGCTAGTGATGGCTAGTTGAGCCACGCGTAGGAAAGGGTTTGTAGCTGTGGGGTGGGCCCATGGGGAAAAAAAAAAAAAAAAACTGAAGGGAGGGAGAGGTAAGGCCTAGGAACAAGTAGCTCTATACCATGTGAAAGTAGCAAATTGAACAAGTAACTTCATTAGAGGAGAAACCTAGCATACATAGTTGGAAGAGAGGCTTGGAAGAGAAGGGTGAAGGTGACCATAGGTTGGGTTGACCTCACTTGTAGAAGTGAGGCAACCCTAGGCCCACTTGGCTTGAGATGACCTCACTTGTGGGAAGTGAGGCACCCATAAGCCAAGTGGGTTGCATTTGGGGGCTCCACCACAATTGGGTGGATTGGCACCCCAAAGTGCAAGACTACACCCAAAGTTGGGTGTAGTCCCAACCCAACTGTACACCACAATTGGTGTACAGTCACATGTGTTGGCATGCTACACAACATATATTTTAACACACCTCACCTGCTCCAGTGTGGCGGGAATGACCTACACGGGCTGCATGGACGCTGGTGCCTGCAGGGATGCTGCTGGGTGCTGATGGGAATCAGCCATTCTCAGGCACCACCTCACCTGCTCCAGTGTGGCGGGAGTGACCTCCACAGGCTGTACGGACGCTGCTGAGGGCTAGGGAGAACTCGCAACGACCAACTCAACTGCTCGAGCGTTGCCGGGGGCTGCATAAATGCTGCAGAGTACTGATGCATTGCCGATTCTCAACCACCAACTCACCTGCTCCTGTGTGGCGGGGGTGACTGCACGGGCTGCACGGGCGCAGCTGCCTGCAGGGCTGTGGAGAGATGCACATGGGAATGCACACATGCTGGCAAACAGCTCACCTGCTCCAGTGTGGCGGGAGTGACCTCAACAGGCTGCACGGATGCTGCTGCCTGCAAGGCCGTGGAGAGATGCAGATCAGTGTTGCTTGCTACCAGTGCCTCCACCTGCCAGTTAGCATGGATGCAATGTGGTGAAGGCCGGCGAATGAAAGGAGGTGAAACAGCGCAAGGGTGAGCGCAAGAGCCATATGATGGAGCATGGCAAGGCAAACCAGCAGGGGAGTGCAGGGGGGGAGTCGGGTTGGGGAAGGGATGAGGGCATGGGTGAGTTGGGGAAGTGGCAGCTCACAAGGCCGTATGCGGAGCGGCGGAGACCAAAGGGGTCGGCCGAGGCAGAGGGCTCACAGCCGATTGCAAAGAGCCCCACGAGACTGTCAAGCCTGATGGGCAAGCGGCATGGGAGGGAGCAGGGTGCAGAATGTAAGTATTTGTGTGACGGGCACTGAAGGACTCACAGCCGATGGCGAAGAGCCCCACATGACTGTCAGATAATGGTGAAGGTAATGGTAATGGTAATGGAAATGGAAATGGTAATGGTGATGGTAATGGTAATGGTAATGGAAATGGTAATGGAAATGGTAATGGTAATGGAAATGAAAATGGTAACGGTAATGGTAATGGTAATAGTAATGGTAAAGGTAATGGTAATGGTAATGGAAATGGAAATGGAACTGGTAATGGTAATGGAAATGGTAACGGTAAAGGTAATGGTAATGGTAATGGAAATGGTAATGGTAATGGTAATGGAAATGGAAATGGTAATAGAAATGGAAATGGAAATGGTAATGGAAATGGTAATGATAATGGAAATGGGAATGGAAATGGTAATAGTATGGTAATGGTAATGGTAATGGTAAAAGTAATGGTATTAGTAATGGAAATGGTAATGGTAATGATAAAGGTAATGGTAATGATAATGGTAATGGAAATGGTAATAGTAATGATAATGATAATGATAATGGTAAATGTAATGGTAATAGTAATCGCGGGGAGCATGCGGGGGAGCAGGGAGTAGGAAGAGGTGGGATTTGGGACGGTGGAGAGGTGTTGAGGGCGGTGCGGGAGGGAGAGCACGAGACCAGTTGTCACGGTTCACACGGTTGACGATGAAATGCCGAACCTAAACTGACCTGGTGGCGAGGGAGAGCACGAGGCCAGGGGCTGTGGTGGGCAGCTGGTCGCCTGCTGACCGCGGCAGCACACACTCGAAAATTGCCCTGCTCACCTGAGGAGGGAGGGGGTGTGGGGTGTGGAGAGGAGGCAAGAGGGAGGGAAAACTGGAATGTCGGATTCATAGCAGGGAGCTGGAGCGGGGCACAGCAGCAACCCTCCTGTTCTCACACACACGCACTCACCGCCTCCCCCAGCCCCTCCCTCTCCGCATAGTGCCGCCCCATGATCCCCGCCAGCCCGGTGAACTCCATCACCACGCCACTCCCAAGGTCCGCTATGCACAGCTGAAGCTTGGGACTTACACCACAGCAAAACCTTTCCTGTTCTCAGACACATGGACTCACCTCCTCCCCCAGCCCTTCTCTCTGTGCGTAATGACGCCCCATGATCCCCGCCAGCCCGGTGAACTCCATCACCACGCCACTCCCAAGGTCCATCCGTACTGTCTGCTTTCCCTCGCTCCTTCCCCCCTACACGCGCTCACCTCCTCTTACGCACACTCACCTCCTCCCCCAGCCCTTCTCTCTCTGCGTAGTGCCGCCCCATGATTCCAGCCAATCCAGTGAATTCCATCACCATGGCGGTCCCAAGGTCTGCCATTCACAGCCTGCTCTCCCGTCCCTCAATCTTCCCACACACATACACGCACCTCCTCTCCCAAACCTTCTCTCTCTGCGTAGTGCCGCCCCATGATTCCAGCCAGTCCAGTAAACTCCATCACCACGGCAGTCCCAAGGTCCGCCATGCACAGCCGCGCTGCCTGCTGCGCCGCGGCAAAGTCTGATGGAGAGAGGTGCAGAGCGGTGCAGAGGAGTGGCGTGATGGCCTCGATGCGCTCGCTCTTGTCCAACATGGAACCCAGCTTCGCCTGGTGGGAGGGAGGCAGAAGGACAGCGGGATAGCGGGATAAGTGGGATAAGTGGGAGAGGAGGGGAGGTGCAGCACAGTGAGGAGTGGTGTTAAGGCTTCCACACGCGTGAATTTGTCCAACATTGACCCCGGCTTCGCGTGGCAGGCAGAGATAGGGGTATGGGGGACGAGGGAAGATAGGAGTAGAAATTGGGGGGGAGGGGAGGGGCATACAGTTAAGGAGTAGGAGATAGGGGAGAGGGGCATAGCGGATAGGGAAGAGGGGATATGGGGGACAGAGCACTTGAAGCTGGTGGAGATATGGAGTAGCAAGACCACAGGGCGCAGCTGTGCAGGAGCAGAGGGAGGGAAGGTACCTGGAAGGTGATGCCCTTGAGCTTCTCCCGGAAGGACTCCAGAGGGTGCGCTGTGTCGCTGTTGTAGAAGAAACGTGCATCCTCGTAGCGGGCGCTGTTGGAGGGTCAGGGGATGATGGATAGGCATAGTGAGAATAATTATGCGCCCTTATACTCCCACCCACGCCCCATTTCCGTTTCCCCTCTCTCTGCCTTCAAATCCCGACCCCATTTCCCCCTCCTCGTGGCCACCCCGACTCACCGCAGCACCGACTCGTTCCCGGCTCGCACTGCCGCTTCATCCAGCCTTTTGTCCTCTCAACCCTCTTTCCCAATCTCTCTGCCTTGACCAATTCACCCCTTCCCCTTCCTCTTCCTCTTCCCCTTCCCCTTGCCCACCAACCCCGCCCCACTCACCGCAGCACCGACTCGTTGCCGGCCCGCACTGCAGCTTCGTCCAGCCGCCCGTTCGGCACCGCCACAAAGTACGGGAGAAGCTTCCCGGAAGCTGCGTCCTGCACCGGGAAGTACCTCTGATGCTTCCTCATCACCATCACCAGCACCTCGGGCGGCAGGTCTAGGAAGCTGCGGTCGAAGCTTCCTAGAAGCGGCACGGGAGATTCCACCAGGTTCGCCACCTCAGCAAGGAGGTCCCCTCGTGCATCTTCCGGGATGCTTCCTCCCACCGACGCTGCCAACTCATTGCTTGCTGCCCAGATCGCGTCTTTACGCTCCTGGCGATGGCGATTGGGAGATGACGGATGGAAGCAGCCGGGACATGACAGGCAGGCAGGACACGGGGCATTCACTTTAGGCAGATTCTCAAAAGCGATGCCAAAGCAGCTGGGGGATTGGAGATGGCACATGTTGACACAACTTTATTATCTCGTGACAGGAGTATCCTCGTGACAGGAGTATCCTCGTGACAGGAGTATCCTCGTGACAGGAGTATCCTCGTGACAGGAGTATCCTCGTGACAGGAGTATCCTCGTGACAGGAGTATCCTCGTGACAGGAGTATCCTCGTGACAGGAGTATCCTCGTGACAGGAGTATCCTCGTGACAGGAGTATCCCTCGTGACAGGAGTATCCTCGTGACAGGAGTATCCTCGTGACAGGAGTATCCTCGTGACAGGAGTATCCTCGTGACAGGAGTATCCTCGTGACAGGAGTATCCTCGTGACAGGAGTATCCTCGTGACAGGAGTATCCTCGTGACAGGAGTATCCTCGTGACAGGAGTATCCTCGTGACAGGAGTATCCTCGTGACAGGAGTATCCTCGTGACAGGAGTATCCTCGTGACAGGAGTATCCTCGTGACAGGAGTATCCTCGTGACAGGAGTATCCTCGTGACAGGAGTATCCTCGTGACAGGAGTATCCTCGTGACAGGAGTATCCTCGTGACAGGAGTATCCCTCGTGACAGGAGTATCCTCGTGACAGGAGTATCCTCGTGACAGGAGTATCCTCGTGACAGGAGTATCCTCGTGACAGGAGTATCCTCGTGACAGGAGTATCCTCGTGACAGGAGTATCCTCGTGACAGGAGTTATCCTTCGTGACAGGAGTATCCTCGTGACAGGGAGTATCCTCGTGACAGGAGTATCCTCGTGACAGGAGTATCCTCGTGACAGGAGTATCCTCGTGACAGGAGTATCCTCGTGACAGGAGTATCCTCGTGACAGGAGTATCCTCGTGACAGGAGTATCCTCGTGACAGGAGTATCCTCGTGACAGGAGTATCCTCGTGACAGGAGTATCCTCGTGACAGGAGTATCCTCGTGACAGGAGTATCCTCGTGACAGGAGTATCCTCGTGACAGGAGTATCCTCGTGACAGGAGTATCCTCGTGACAGGAGTATCCTCGTGACAGGAGTATCCTCGTGACAGGAGTATCCTCGTGACAGGAGTATCCTCGTGACAGGAGTATCCTCGTGACAGGAGTATCCTCGTGACAGGAGTATCCTCGTGACAGGAGTATCCTCGTGACAGGAGTATCCTCGTGACAGGAGTATCCTCGTGACAGGAGTATCCTCGTGACAGGAGTATCCTCGTGACAGGAGTATCCTCGTGACAGGAGTATCCTCGTGACAGGAGTATCCTCGTGACAGGAGTATCCTCGTGACAGGAGTATCCTCGTGACAGGAGTATCCTCGTGACAGGAGTATCCTCGTGACAGGAGTATCCTCGTGACAGGAGTATCCTCGTGACAGGAGTATCCTCGTGACAGGAGTATCCTCGTGACAGGAGTATCCTCGTGACAGGAGTATCCTCGTGACAGGAGTATCCTCGTGACAGGAGTATCCTCGTGACAGGAGTATCCTCGTGACAGGAGTATCCTCGTGACAGGAGTATCCTCGTGACAGGAGTATCCTCGTGACAGGAGTATCCTCGTGACAGGAGTATCCTCGTGACAGGAGTATCCTCGTGACAGGAGTATCCTCGTGACAGGAGTATCCTCGTGACAGGAGTATCCTCGTGACAGGAGTATCCTCGTGACAGGAGTATCCTCGTGACAGGAGTATCCTCGTGACAGGAGTATCCTCGTGACAGGAGTATCCTCGTGACAGGAGTATCCTCGTGACAGGAGTATCCTCGTGACAGGAGTATCCTCGTGACAGGAGTATCCTCGTGACAGGAGTATCCTCGTGACAGGAGTATCCTCGTGACAGGAGTATCCTCGTGACAGGAGTATCCTCGTGACAGGAGTATCCTCGTGACAGGAGTATCCTCGTGACAGGAGTATCCTCGTGACAGGAGTATCCTCGTGACAGGAGTATCCTCGTGACAGGAGTATCCTCGTGACAGGAGTATCCTCGTGACAGGAGTATCCTCGTGACAGGAGTATCCTCGTGACAGGAGTATCCTCGTGACAGGAGTATCCTCGTGACAGGAGTATCCTCGTGACAGGAGTATCCTCGTGACAGGAGTATCCTCGTGACAGGAGTATCCTCGTGACAGGAGTATCCTCGTGACAGGAGTATCCTCGTGACAGGAGTATCCTCGTGACAGGAGTATCCTCGTGACAGGAGTATCCTCGTGACAGGAGTATCCTCGTGACAGGAGTATCCTCGTGACAGGAGTATCCTCGTGACAGGAGTATCCTCGTGACAGGAGTATCCTCGTGACAGGAGTATCCTCGTGACAGGAGTATCCTCGTGACAGGAGTATCCTCGTGACAGGAGTATCCTCGTGACAGGAGTATCCTCGTGACAGGAGTATCCTCGTGACAGGAGTATCCTCGTGACAGGAGTATCCTCGTGACAGGAGTATCCTCGTGACAGGAGTATCCTCGTGACAGGAGTATCCTCGTGACAGGAGTATCCTCGTGACAGGAGTATCCTCGTGACAGGAGTATCCTCGTGACAGGAGTATCCTCGTGACAGGAGTATCCTCGTGACAGGAGTATCCTCGTGACAGGAGTATCCTCGTGACAGGAGTATCCTCGTGACAGGAGTATCCTCGTGACAGGAGTATCCTCGTGACAGGAGTATCCTCGTGACAGGAGTATCCTCGTGACAGGAGTATCCTCGTGACAGGAGTATCCTCGTGACAGGAGTATCCTCGTGACAGGAGTATCCTCGTGACAGGAGTATCCTCGTGACAGGAGTATCCTCGTGACAGGAGTATCCTCGTGACAGGAGTATCCTCGTGACAGGAGTATCCTCGTGACAGGAGTATCCTCGTGACAGGAGTATCCTCGTGACAGGAGTATCCTCGTGACAGGAGTATCCTCGTGACAGGAGTATCCTCGTGACAGGAGTATCCTCGTGACAGGAGTATCCTCGTGACAGGAGTATCCTCGTGACAGGAGTATCCTCGTGACAGGAGTATCCTCGTGACAGGAGTATCCTCGTGACAGGAGTATCCTCGTGACAGGAGTATCCTCGTGACAGGAGTATCCTCGTGACAGGAGTATCCTCGTGACAGGAGTATCCTCGTGACAGGAGTATCCTCGTGACAGGAGTATCCTCGTGACAGGAGTATCCTCGTGACAGGAGTATCCTCGTGACAGGAGTATCCTCGTGACAGGAGTATCCTCGTGACAGGAGTATCCTCGTGACAGGAGTATCCTCGTGACAGGAGTATCCTCGTGACAGGAGTATCCTCGTGACAGGAGTATCCTCGTGACAGGAGTATCCTCGTGACAGGAGTATCCTCGTGACAGGAGTAATCCTCGTGACAGGAGTATCCTCGTGACAGGAGTATCCTCGTGACAGGAGTATCCTCGTGACAGGAGTATCCTCGTGACAGGAGTATCCTCGTGACAGGAGTATCCTCGTGACAGGAGTATCCTCGTGACAGGAGTATCCTCGTGACAGGAGTATCCTCGTGACAGGAGTATCCTCGTGACAGGAGTATCCTCGTGACAGGAGTATCCTCGTGACAGGAGTATCCTCGTGACAGGAGTATCCTCGTGACAGGAGTATCCTCGTGACAGGAGTATCCTCGTGACAGGAGTATCCTCGTGACAGGAGTATCCTCGTGACAGGAGTATCCTCGTGACAGGAGTATCCTCGTGACAGGAGTATCCTCGTGACAGGAGTATCCTCGTGACAGGAGTATCCTCGTGACAGGAGTATCCTCGTGACAGGAGTATCCTCGTGACAGGAGTATCCTCGTGACAGGAGTATCCTCGTGACAGGAGTATCCTCGTGACAGGAGTATCCTCGTGACAGGAGTATCCTCGTGACAGGAGTATCCTCGTGACAGGAGTATCCTCGTGACAGGAGTATCCTCGTGACAGGAGTATCCTCGTGACAGGAGTATCCTCGTGACAGGAGTATCCTCGTGACAGGAGTATCCTCGTGACAGGAGTATCCTCGTGACAGGAGTATCCTCGTGACAGGAGTATCCTCGTGACAGGAGTATCCTCGTGACAGGAGTATCCTCGTGACAGGAGTATCCTCGTGACAGGAGTATCCTCGTGACAGGAGTATCCTCGTGACAGGAGTATCCTCGTGACAGGAGTATCCTCGTGACAGGAGTATCCTCGTGACAGGAGTATCCTCGTGACAGGAGTATCCTCGTGACAGGAGTATCCTCGTGACAGGAGTATCCTCGTGACAGGAGTATCCTCGTGACAGGAGTATCCTCGTGACAGGAGTATCCTCGTGACAGGAGTATCCTCGTGACAGGAGTATCCTCGTGACAGGAGTATCCTCGTGACAGGAGTATCCTCGTGACAGGAGTATCCTCGTGACAGGAGTATCCTCGTGACAGGAGTATCCTCGTGACAGGAGTATCCTCGTGACAGGAGTATCCTCGTGACAGGAGTATCCTCGTGACAGGAGTATCCTCGTGACAGGAGTATCCTCGTGACAGGAGTATCCTCGTGACAGGAGTATCCTCGTGACAGGAGTATCCTCGTGACAGGAGTATCCTCGTGACAGGAGTATCCTCGTGACAGGAGTATCCTCGTGACAGGAGTATCCTCGTGACAGGAGTATCCTCGTGACAGGAGTATCCTCGTGACAGGAGTATCCTCGTGACAGGAGTATCCTCGTGACAGGAGTATCCTCGTGACAGGAGTATCCTCGTGACAGGAGTATCCTCGTGACAGGAGTATCCTCGTGACAGGAGTATCCTCGTGACAGGAGTATCCTCGTGACAGGAGTATCCTCGTGACAGGAGTATCCTCGTGACAGGAGTATCCTCGTGACAGGAGTATCCTCGTGACAGGAGTATCCTCGTGACAGGAGTATCCTCGTGACAGGAGTATCCTCGTGACAGGAGTATCCTCGTGACAGGAGTATCCTCGTGACAGGAGTATCCTCGTGACAGGAGTATCCTCGTGACAGGGAGTATCCTCGTGACAGGAGTATCCTCGTGACAGGAGTATCCTCGTGACAGGAGTATCCTCGTGACAG